ACAGATAACCTAAACACAGGACTATTTGAGGAAGCCTAGGATGCTTAGTCTCTTAAGTAACGTGGCATGAATAAATATTTGGAATTATACTGGATATGCCTGAGACATATCTTGCAGTAACAGCTGGACTTGATAAATTTTACTGACACCAGAGATTCTGCATAGGAGCAAAGAGCATACATTACTGCAGGTACAACCAAAGTCTGTATATATATCCTGGAGCATTCCTATCTCTATGCAGGTGAATGCTTTTAACACTGCAAAGAATTGGGCAAAATATTCTGGGAAAGGTGAAGTCAAGGATTCACCAAAGAGTAAAACTGTTAAGGGTGGCAGACTGCAATCACAGAACAGAAATTTATTTTAAGAGAGATGTCAGAAAACTAATGTTCAACAAAAAAAGGCATTGACAAGTTATTTAAAATGATGGAGAATTGTCATATTTTTAAATTAAGACAATGCAAAGTTATTTGTAAAATTTGGATTTCAGAGTCACCTGTAAAATTAGAATTTCAGTCTACTGAATATTTAGTTCTGTCCTTGTAGCAATGAAAACAAAGATATTAGTGAAATTACTTAGGGAAAGAAATTTAAATAATTTTCTAGTAAGCTACATCTCGACTCACTGTTCATCATTACACAAATTCCAAAACTATCACAAACAAGGCAGCACTGACAAGAGCTTTTAAACAGTTAAGCATTAAGAAGCTAAGAAATATTTTAGAGCTCAGTAGTAGTTTTCATCAAAGATATTGTTATTTCAACCTCACTCTTCTAATCTAGCTTAAAGAATTTATAATGATGACCTAATATTTTCTTTCTGTAGAGAAAATTTTAATGAGATAAGCAAATGATGTGTGTTGCGTGGTATAACTGAAGCATTAAAAGAAATAGTAATAAATAATCACAAGTACAATATATTTTGAAAAATGAGCTTGAACAAGTCTTTATTAAAGTCATTATTTCTCTTACCATAAATCACTAAAGTTTATTTTTGCTCTAGATATAAGGCAGTCAAGGACAACTGTTTTAAACTTGTCCTTGCTTCTAATTTACCATTAAAGAAGTTTCCCATACTTTTTCTTTGACTAATACAAAAATAATACTACTCTGTGTGCAATTATAATATACAAAATATTTATTTAAATGAATAGAATTTCCACTGTAAGAATATCTTGCAAAACCACTAGTTAATATATAACAGTGTAATTGTAGGGATGAGTTTGAAGTGCCAGTATGCTGAGGCAGAACCAAACAATATATTGTCTTAGAAATATTTTATGAAAATTGTATAATTTATCTATCTACCTAAGTCAATGAGCAAACTTGCACTCTACTGCAAGTTTCATATTGTTAGAGGGGCCAACGATGTTTTTCCTAGTGATTTGTACAGAAAAATTTGTGTCAATGAATGTTGTCTGAGCCATTCAGGCTTTTTCAGCCTGTTTCTTTAACTTCTTCCACAAACAAACAAACAAACAAAAAAATTCAAAACTAAGCCAAGAAATAGTTAAAATTCAGAATATCTCCTAATTTTCTGTAGTTCTACTCTGTAGAATAATTTAGCATTCTGAACTCAAGAATAGCAAATTTAACTTTTAATTTTTATCCCCACATTTTGCCCTAAATATATGGCATCTATGTAAAGCATAGAAGTTTTTGTCATTGTTTTGCTCAAAGAGATAGAGCATGTCTCACTGAACATTTTGTATGTGGATCATGAGCAATACTGCAAAAATAAGACTTTTGTCACTAAAAATGGAATATGTTTAAATATCCCTTCTTAGCATTCAGTCATAATTTCACCAAGAACATGAGGCTTTTTTGTTAATTACATTTAATTTTCTAAGTAAAACCCCCCCCACCCCCTTTTAAATGCAGAATAATATGACAAGCATCTAGAGTCCTCATAAGTTTGGACAAACCTGGAATATTCCCCTATTTGGTGAGAACAGTGTCTCTCAAATAGGTAACTGTGCTACAGTGTTTATGGATCAGAAAGCTATCCCCATTCCTGAATTTCACTTTAAAACTTTCAATTGGTCATTTGTACATTATGTTTGGGATGTTCCTGTAAAAGAGACCAATAGCCATGGAAACAGATGGAGTCCCAGCTACTCCAGATTCACATTTCTTCAACCTATCACATTTCTCATTTGAAATAAGCTGTAAAAAATATATACAATATAATGTATATAATTGTATAAACACACACACTGACCCTTTTTTATCCTACCTCTAATTCAACAGAAAACAAGGAGAGTACACTCTGAATGTAACTCTTAACAGAAGTGTTTACACAGAGACAGACTTTCTAGAGATAAGAAGCATGAGACACTTGTTCCAAGAGAGCTTCATAACATGAGACCTGCCTGATAAAGGACCATTCCTCATACAACAGCCACAAACAGTGAGATTATAATCATCCATTGCAAAAGTTTAACAATGACTGTAGTACTTCAGATATTGATTAGTACTGAGGGAAGAAGAAACTACCCTTTAGTTTGCAGCTGCTCTTCCCATAAATTAATATTCAAATTTAAAACAACTGCACAGTCCAGTAGTTATTGTATAATGAAACTATACTGGACATACTTGAAATGAAAATTTAAAAATACCATTTAAATAACGAATACATTATCGCTTTTATCTACTAAAAGCATCAATATGGTGAATAATTGGTGAATAATAATTTAAAAACTAAAAAACTTTGAGATAAAAAAATACATTAATATAAATACATTAACTTATGTACAAAAATTAGTAAAATCTTCTTGTGCTATATTTCCCAATTTTTGTCTTCCCCTCCATCTAACAATCAGGTTGTCAAAACAGAAAGCACCCACCCCAAAAATAAAAGCAACCAAAAACAAAGGAAAAAACCTAAATAGTTGTTTCCTTCAAGATGGTAAAGCATAAACACTAAACTAATTATATCTTTAAACATCTAATACACTTAATGTGCACTATACCTGCAAATTTCACACATCTTTTCATCATTTTTCATTTCTGTTCCTACCACTTTAACACTTGCCTGGAGTGAGTCTGAGGTTTCTGCTCTGGCCACCCATTACTAGAGCTGTGCTGCCTATGGCCTCTCTCACTGACTCACCTGTGACTCCTGAAATTCGTTACAGCTGGGCAGGGGCTGGGGTAAGGGAAAGTAGTTTGGCAGTAATTAATGTTCTCAGTGTGTTTCTCATTCTATCTTGTACATTGAATTAGGAACAGATACAGTTTTTTTTCCTGGCCTGGTGGTAGGAATGTCTACAGTTCTGATCTTACAAGTAAATAAGTAATTAAAATAAAATTTTCTTTCTTTTGAAGCTGTAAGTTTTCTTTCATGTGTAAGTAGAATCTGGTATTTAACTCTGTTTTTTAACTTAATTTGTTCAGCAGAGCTGATTCGAGACCTTCCAACCAAGCAGGCAAATCTGATTTTTTCTGTTATAAAGATTAGGTGTTGGGTGCTGTCTGCTACAGCAACTAAAGAAGAAGATGGAGCCAAATGAGAGGAATGTGAATTGTGTCTAGACTAATGGATTTTGTTCTTCCTGTTGGGATTTTGAGGTTAGTTATTACTGCTGTTGTTGGAAGATCAGTTTGTTTACCACAGCACAAAATGCTGTTCCTCATCCCTGAGATACTCCTGCAGCAGCACTAATTCCTGTTGCCAGTTTAGTTTCTCAGCTGTTCTAAACAAGTATTGTGCATATCATTTTTGCTGCAAATTAAGTGGACTTTTTTCCTTCTTATTATTCTAATAGAAAAACTGAATAAATTGTTTATCATCTTATACAATTTGTTTTGAACTGTGAAACTGTTAGCACAGTTTTTTTCTGTTAAATTCTGTTAGCACAAAATTTTCTTAGTTTTTAGATGTGATTTCCAGGATTGGCTGTTCATGAATTTCTAAATTCAGGGGGTACTACAGTAATGAACTTGGGAACTGTTGGAACAGTTACCAGTGTTTCTCCTTACATGGACAAAAGTGGAGTACATATTCTGCCATAATTCTAGGTTCCTGTTAAAGTGAGCTGTCACAGATTAAAAATAAATCAGTTTTCATTTTTACATAATAGTTTGACAGCTAAAGCAGTCATTTAGGAAAGGAGAACACTGGGAACCCTTACGTTTCATTTAGTTAAAAATGAAGTGAATTCATGAATGTTTTACCTCTAGTGCCAAAATCACTAGCTTGTGGGGAAGTCGGAATATGCTCTATGATTATCTGTGAAAGGTGAGCTACAGTTTAGAGAGATTCATCAAAGGTTAGTCATAGGTTCATCAAAGAGTGATAAAGCACCTCACTGCATCTTGTCAGAATGTCTCAACTTTGGTGGTTATTTCTTCTTCCTAGTTCTAGGCCAGCAATTTGATGTCTAGGTTTTATTTTTATCCATCTCGAAGGGACATGATAGCGATATTCTAATAAAAAATGCTTTTGTATCTCAGAAGAAGTGCTATCAATCCATGCTGGTTTGTGATCCCCTTACTGGATCATTTACTATCATGAATAGGAAAGCCTTCAGATATGTAGAAAGGATTAGATTTGCCTCTAAGTAGAATTTAGAATGTGCAGATACTTCTTTTTTTCTGGATAGCTCTGAAATAATTTTACTTTACTGTTATGATATTATTAGCAAAGATGTAAGGAAAGTAAATGGAAGCACTCACCACACCCACTAGTTTTCTGTAATCTTAAGAGATGTCTTGTTTAAGGAGTTTGAGTGGCCTTCAACAGTTTTCCATTACTGAAAAATGAAAACAAAAAAGAAACTAAAGTGTTGAGGAAAAGGAAGTAATGTATTTTTTTCTGTGTGCTGGATTGTCCTCAAAGATACATATTTACAATTTTGTCTGTACACAATTTAAGCAGACTGAGCTCCACTTTGTTTAATGAAGTATCCAGTTAAAGTTGCCTTTTTAGTATCCAAATACTTTAGAATGTCATTAAGCACCAAATCAGTAAAACATAATCTTCTTTTCTACTTATTTACAGTGTCTCCAGTGTATGTGTGTGCACGTGCTTGATTTCCACTCCTGATGCTGCTGTCACTTCCCAGTCAGTCTGGCTGATAAAAGGAATACTTCCAGTTTCCTTCCACCAGCTGAGTCCCAAAATAATAAGACAAGGCAGTGGGTGCACTGAAGGTAAGTATTTATTCCAATGCACTCTTACACTTGTAGGCACCAAAAATGGACTAGCCAGTCATGTAAAGGATATTGCTTCTTAGAACCTAGCAAATTTACTCTACAGGTGAAAAGAAGTGAAAATACAGTTAAATAAGATGTGATAAAGTCAAAGTTCTTGTTTTTTAGATCTTTGTGTTCTTCCTTGGTGTTATCAGGTCAGGATCTTCTTTCTGTAATGCCACTCCTTCCTCTGCTACACCCATCAGTCACTCTTTATAGGCTTTTAAGTGTTGTGTGCAATGAATTTCTTCAATCCAGTCCCAGTCTTTATTACATTTGCCACAAAATGCTGACCTTTGCTTTGCATTCCCTTCTACATGTCTTCAAACTGCCTCAATCTACTTTATGAGTTGGGTTAAATGGCAGTAGTATATTTTCCTGTTACAAGGTCATCTTTTCTCATTTTCTTGCTAGTTTTTCTGACAGGGTGATTTGGGGTCTACAATCCTCTCTGAATAGCAATCCCTAGTATAGCTTATATAAAGTTCATTTATAACATATGATATGCATAAAAATCTGTTTTGTACTGAAATTTTTCTTTCGTCTCCATTATTTCAGATTCATTATATATATATATAGTCATAGTTATATATATGTATTCATAATTGTATATATATTTTTATGTATATAATTAACTGGACTTCTACCTTAACTATTTACTCTGAATATGTTTTCTTAGATTTTCTGGAAGAATCATGAAAATAATATTCTGAAGCTATATCAAATAAAGTTCATGAACACTGTGTTTTTTTTCACAATTTGTGTTGACAATTTCATGCTGTATTCATTCTGCATGGGCTCTTAAGTGCTTTACGTACACAAAAGCCAGGTGACCTAAATGAAGACATAATCTCACTCCTAGCTGTGATTTGCATCAGACCACAGTGGCTCACCTTATTTGATATAAGCTACTCAGCATAAAATATATAAAGAAGTTTATTTCTTAATTGGGAAATCATTACTCCTATTCTTGAAAAGACAAAAAAACCAAAACCAAACAAAAAACAAGAAAAATCAACCAACAACAACAAAACCCGAACCAAACCAAAACAAAAAAATGCCCAAAAAACCAAAAAACAATCAACCAGAAAAAAAAAAATCACAAAATACAAACTCTTACAAAAAAAACCCAAACATAAAAACAAGGAAACCCTCACCAAAAATCTAAACTTCCCATTGCAGGTGTTTCTTTCATAGATGATCTACTGCTTTAAAGAACATAATTGGAGAGTTTCAATTATTTGAAAGAAAAAATAATTCTAAAATAGGAATCAAGCTAACTACAAATGAAGTCACTGTGATGAAACGAGAAAGGATTTATATGATCGTTATAGATGCTTTTTATTTCTCACTACAGTTTATTCTGCCTCTATTGAACTAGCTGTTGCTTGATGAGGCACCCTCTTAGCTATGCTATGTCACCGTATTATTAGTTCCTTGGTAGCTTGCAACTTGCTGAACAAGTAATCAAAAGGAAATTATTCTTTTTTTCCTCTAGCCCAGATGACTAATCTTCCTCAGCATTCAATATTTGACTAAAATATAACTATTCTTTTCACAGTTTCACTGCAGAAAAGAGTGAAAATAAAATCAGAAGCAAAAAAAAATAAGCTAAGTAGATGTAAATAATAATATGATTAAAAGTTTATCATTTTATATAAAGTTTATTACATCAAATCTGCATTTAGCAATCTTTACATGAAATCAGAATTTGTCTAGGGAAACCTATTTGGAGGTTAGAAAGGTAAGAAAGTAATCTATCGGGAACAGAATAAGAATAGTTTAATCTGCTTCAGACAGATTTAAACTACTCGGTATAGGGGAAATACTTTCCCTTATATTTCTGAGCAACCAATTGTGGAAAATCTACCTAAGTAAATAATAATCAAAATAATTAATAAATGAACAGCACACTGAAAGTTAAACAGTAAACTGGTTATTTTTTGCATCTGCACATCTCATGTATTTAGGAAAGTTCTCTTCTTTAAGACTGCTCTTTTATTATTAAAAAATGCCATTGTTAGTACCAAATGGTTTGACTTTGAATACAATCTTTAGCACAAATGCTATGACAGGAGTTTTATCCAAATAAAATGTCTTGCTCTTGAAATCGCTGTCCTGGGGTTCAGCATTTTTGCTGATGGATACATCTGTCTTGCTATGTTATGGTGAGGTAGACCTTTCGTGTGAAGTGAACTTCTAAGTGGAATTTGTTTTGGAAAGCAATTTAATATTTGCTGATAACGTTGATTGGTGCTTTGTCAGTGTTAGCTTTTAAGCTTCTGTTCTGGTCTGCTTAATTTTTTGAAATAACTTATTTGATTAAGTGATGCTTTACCACCAACAGTTCAGCTGGCTTTCTGCTGATAGTTGGATTTTCTTTCTTCTGTGCTATCTTGCACTTGCTGAGTCTCTTTATCATTAGAATTTAAAAGGGTAGGTTAGATTCAGACCCCCCCACTCTGCTGTTCTTTTTCTGGATATGTCCTAATAAACTGGGACAGAGTGTACTCTCCGCAAGTTTGCCGATGACACAAACCTGGAAGTAGTGGGTGAGTGTACCAGAGTGTGATGCTGCCATCCAGAGGGACCTCCAGAGGCTGGCAGGAACTTCACAAAGGTCAACAATGAGAAGTGCAAAGCCCTGCCACATGGGAAGGAGCAAGCACTGGCACCAGTATATGCTGAGTGCCACACAGCTGGAAAGCAGTTTGGCAGAAAATGACCTGTTGCTCAAGCTGAACCTGAGCCAGCAGGGTGTTCTGGCAGCCAAGCCTGATGGTAGTGTGAGCTGCATTATGAGAAGCATTACCAGCAGGTCCAGGGAGGTGAATCCTTCCTTCAGCCAATCCATAGTGATATCATACCTGGAAGACTGACTAGTCTGGACTTCTGGACATGATTGGGAGAGTACATTGAAGTTGATGGGGGGGGGTGTAGAAATGGGAAATGGGCAGGGAAAGAACTTACTCATTAATTTAGTTTCTGAAGAGATGTTGGAACATAAGTGGAAAAAAGTTCTTCAGGAGGTTCTATCTGAGCACCAGGAAACACTTGTTCACTTTGAGGGTGATTGACTAGCACAGGTTGCCTAGAGAGGTAGTGGAATCTTTCTCCTTGGAGATACTGAAAAGCAGTGTAGACATGGTCCTGGGAAACTGGCTGTAGGAGTCCTGCATGAGCAGGGGTTGCACCGGATGATTACCAGCAGAGCTCCCTTCCAATCTCAACCATGCAGTTCTGTGATTGGCTAGACTCAGAAGTTGTGAGAGCAGACCTATCTTTTCAGATGAAGATACATTTGTTGGCCTGGTCAGTTATCTTGTTGTTTTCCCAACACATATTTTATGTTTACCGTGAAGTCACCTGGTCTAGTGATCTCTATCTTCTCCCCCTTGCTCCTAACAGAAAGGGAAGTCTCATTTTCATGAGAAATCATTTACTACTCATCATCACACAAGTAATTCCTTCTATGCCTTTTAAACTGAAGGATATTTGCTAGAAATACACAAAAATCTCATTTTTTACTAACTTCTCCAGAAGATATGTGCTTTTGCAAGGTCTTTTATAGGAACATACTACAAGCTAAAATCTCTGACATGTTTCTGCCTCAATGATACCATGAATAGTAGAACATTACTGTGATAAGGACAATTTAAACATGTCATACAAGATTAAATAAATTGTGCTTGAAATTTGCCACATTCTATTTACTTTGTATTTATCTGATAACTAATAATTTAAATAATCTTATTGAATTTGAAACAATAACTATGAATAAGAGAAAATTCACCAGATTAAAGGTTTCAAAATAGAGGCTTATGAGAACAAAGAGGTTTGGGTTTTTTTAAGTGAAACATATACCATATTTATATTATATTAAATATATATATATTAAATATGATAGAACTTTCTTAGAGGTGAAGATTGACTATGAAAGAACCTAATTATCAACTGCTAATAATAATGTCACTGAAGTGACATTACCTAAATTCCCTAAAACAGGGAATGTACATCTGTGTGAAACACATTCCAGTAAATGTCCTGGAAATTTTACAAGAAAGATCTACTTCTTTCAGTAAGATAGTAAAGAGAGCAATTGATCAACTAAAAAGAAAAGAAAACTGTGTGGTGATAGGAAAATGTACCTATAGAAAAAATAGATAAAAGATATTTGGTCATAAAATGCATTTATAAAAGGCTGTTATGACAAAAGGTATGCTCAAGGTATTTCAGAAAAAGTAACCACAAGTGAGCACCCAGTGCTGCTACAAATATCAACTTTTCAAACACTGACCCTTTCAAATGTAATGGCTTGAAATTGTAATCATTAGAACAACTAACATTTCATATTTATGCACCAAGAAAAAAATGTCAAAAATACTGTTCATAGCTTTTAACTTGCCAAAACACAAATGCAGAAACTTGGTCTTTTAGATTTTTCTGAAAATAAGTTCCAATCCTATTCTATTTATTCTGAAAAGACTGTACTTTCTCTCTGAACATATCAAGACTAGTAATAAAAAATAAGCGGAAATTACATTAGTAAATTTTTTTCTGATCATAACCTGTCTCTGATTAGTTATGGTTGGATAGTTTGGAATTAATAATTTCAGATGAGCAGGAGAGCCTAGCACAACAATTTCTGACCGAACTGCTGCGGAAGGGTTTGTTTTGCTCTGTTAAACTGTTCCCCTGGAATTAATGTGTTAAGAGTAAACAATTTTTTAAGATCTACAAGAGGTGTCCAGTGCTCTACACTGGTCAGAATTCATCCCTCCCTTTTAAAGGTTTTGTCTCCTGCAGCTCTCAGTACAATTAGAGAGAGAAATGTGCACTGCCAACATGTGATTCAGCCTACAAGCTATGATGTTCCTAAAAGCTGTTATAACCTTGGTAGTTAAACTCACTTGATGTGAAGCACATCCCTACCCATACTGCTTTCGAACTGTTGAGCT